GATAGGGCAGGAGGTGGGAGGTCCAAGAAGAATTGAGAGGGGAGGGGATGTGATGGAGGGTGACCCTGTTTGCCTTACCATTGTCTGTCGCATAGCTGAAGGGGATCCATCAAGCAGACTGATTGTGGGGGTGGGGACTGTTGTTTTAATTCAGCAGATTGACTTATCCTTGGCTATTAGATAGACCTAAGATATGTAAATCTATGTCTGTACACACGCACACACACGCACAGAGACACACACATATATACACACTAAGAAATGCAAAGTTGATGCAGCCCAGATGTTACATGTCAGATATCATAAACTAGTGACTCATGTGTTGAATGCAATCTGCAGACATTCTTGATTCGACCCTGTCTGAGTTTTTAAGTTAAAATTGTTATTTAAATATTTTAAAAGTTGGGCGATTTCAATGAAAACTCCTGATTTCTGACCCTTCTGACATTCTTACCTCATCATGTTATTGACTACAGATGGGTAGTAGATGATGCCTCTTGAATCAGGGCATGTGCGGTTCAATTTGTCACATTCTTTACCACCCTTGGAGATCACTCCAGTCATCACCTCTCCTCCAAGTCATCTGTGGCTCCTAAAGTCTGCCACTCAGTTATGTCTGACTCTTGAGACCCCATGGACTGACTGCTGCCCACCGGGTTCCTCTGTTCATGAGATTTCCCAGGAAAGAATACTGGAATGGTTTGCCATTTCCTTCTCCAAGGGATCTTCCTGATCCAGGGATTGAACCCAGGACTCCTGCTTGGCAGGAAGATTCTTCACTGCTTACCCACCAGGGACACATCAGGATATTTAAATTTAAGACTCCTGTTGTGCGTAATTTCTTGACTATCACAAATCTTACTAGTTCCTTGAAACAAACTACTCATATCAGATTCTAATAACTTCATTCCTCTTTCTCCTCCTAGGTTTCTGACTATTGTGCACCCTTTCAGAGGAAGTATAGTATTAGGTTAATTCAGTCACTGTAGACCATGATGAAGCCAGGTGGCTATTTAATGACCTGGGTTGGCTTCTCCTTGTTGAAATCAGCACAGCAATTGCCAAACCACTTCTTTGCTTGTTGTGCTAAAACTTCTATGGGCACAAAACATAAATTCTTAAGAATACACAAAATTTGCAGGTAATCAATTTCTAATTATTTCTTGCTTTAAAGACATCCTAATAAATCTCTCAGCAGCTTCCAATATGTTCATTTTCTATGACAAAAGAACAGATATGAAAATGAAATCCTGAACTGGATGGGAGTTTAATTATAGTAATTTTCTGGTTGAACAAATAATTATATTGTTTCAACAAATAACCATCATTTCCCCTCAATTAAAGTCTTTTCTCTGCTTTTAGGATTCCAATGAAAACATACATTAATGGGTCAAACCTTAAAACTGAAGGTCTGGGAAAACCCTTGTTATAAATACCCATCTTATTTTAAATTTTCTGGAGTGTTCTCTTGGACATTTTAAAAAATCAACTAAATGCAAAATGATCAGAGTTCAAAATGAGATATTAAAAGTATTTTTTCCAGAACATTTAACCTCAGTTATAGGTCAGATGAAGATCAAATGTACATTTTTGTTGATTGCTCTTTGAGCTATAATTAAAGAAGTTGAGATTATGTCTTTTAAAATATATGAGGGCATATGTAATGACTTTTTCACCAGTAAAAATGCTCTAATAATGCTCATTAAGCATATCATGAGTCCCCTAGATGAATAAGAAAAGCTATAATTCCCCCCAAATACTTTGTCTGTCCATAGCAATTCACTTTTTAGTGTGTAGTTATTAAATTTCATTCAAAAGAAGTTGACTTTATAGTACTTTAACTATGAGAGCTTAAACATTTTAAAAAAGCTTTGGAAAGGTTAAAATCAGGTCAGAAGTCTGAATTGGGGCTGTAGTTATCTGCAGATAACTCCTTTTAGAAACCCAAATGAAAGCAAATGTTCTCTCTACTATCTTTACTTCCCCCAGTTACTCTTCTTATAATTTCTTTACTATTTATCTGGCATTCTTTGTTGTTGTTGTTGTTGTTTATTTATTGTGTTTGCTACTAAATGGGCAAACTTAAAATTAGATGCTTGGGATCTGCCAGCAGCGTAAAATATACTGATGGAAAAACTCTACCTTTTGGGGGGCCATTAAGTCACTTCAGTTGTGTCCGACTCTTTGTGACCCCATGAACTGCTCCCCTTCTATCGGATTCTCCAGGCAAGAATACTGGAGTGGGTTGCCTCACCCTCCACCAGGGGATCTTCCCAATCCAGGGATCAAACCCATGTCTCTTACACATCCTGCATCGGCAGACAGGTTCTTTACCACTAGTGCCACCTGGGAAGCCCTTGAAAAATGGGGAGAAGGACATTTACTCTACAAAAAAGTATAGTTTGTTACTTTTCAATGACCATTTTTATTAGGGAGTTGGGTTTTTCTAATTTGTGGTTTTAGAGGCCAGGGGAGCACAAATTTAGAGTGACAACTCAATTTCCCTGGGACTGAGATCAGACCACGCCTCTCCCACCTCCCCTTCTCTCATGGGGGGGATGTCTTTCAGTGTCCTCTGAGGCTGGAAGGGCAGTACTGGGAGTGCAGAGGTTTGGAGAAGAGAGAAGCCTGAGGTGGAAGGAGTCTCTGTTTTTGTCCTGGTCTGTCCCGCACTAGGCATGTCACCTTTCTTTCTCTTAGTCTCAGTTTTCCCATTTGAGGAATGAGATTGATGATAATTTTTCTCAGTTCCCTGCAGGGTGATTGCAGAAGGAATAAAATTAGATGTCATATAAGAAAGCTCACCACTGAAGGACTTGCTATGGTTTCTCTTGACTTGTCGTTGTTGTCGTTCAGTCACTAGGTCGTGTCCAACTCTTTGCGACCCAATGGATCGCAGAATGCGATCTGCCTGCCCTGGAGTTTGCTCAAACTCGTCTATCGAGTTGGTGATGCCATCCACCCATCTCATCCTGTTGTCCCCTTCTCCTCCCGCCTTCAATCTTTCCCAGCATCAGGGTCTTTTTCCAGTGAATCAGCTCTTCTCATCAGGTGGCCAAAGTACTGGAGTTTCAGCTTCAGCATCAATCCTTCCAATGAATAGTCAGAGTTGATTTCCACTAGGTTTGACTGGTTTGATCTCCTTGCTGTCCAAGGAACTATCAGGAGTATTCTCCAACATCGCAGTTTGAAAGGAACAATTCTTCGGTGCTCAGCCTTCTTTATGGTCCAACTCTCACATCAGTACATGACTACCAGACCAATATGGATACATAAATAGTTTACTTTTTAGTTCATATAACAACGGAGGGTATTTCATCTGATAGAAAGTCATCATGTTTCTGTGCACTAGATGTCAGTAGAGCTCTATGTTTCAGCTGGTATCTCTGCCTGGTTGCAATGATCCATCCTTGAAAAAATTTCAGACCCATTGTGCTTTTGCTTTTTTGCATTTTTTATTAAATGGCCATGAATTCATGGGTCCTTGACTCATACCCACCATACTCATATCCATCTCACTAGAATTCTGCTTTCAGCACAATTTTTTGCCTTATTGGAGATTTCCTCCTCTTCATTTTCTGGAGGAATTTCTACAAAATCATTCTTGCTAAAGGGCTCCTTTAGTAGAAAATGTGAAAACCAAGAGAAAACCTGCTACGGAGTATAAATTCACAAAAACAATTTAGGACAGTTATTGTAGATAGATTTATTGCTTTAAAAACTAAATGTCACAAAAAATCCTGTTTGCATTTACTTTTTCCTCACCATCCTGTTATCCTCATTCCTATTTTAGTTTTCATTCTAATTGAGAAATAAAGCAGATATACCAGAGAGGGCTTTGCCTTACCCAGAAATGCTTAGCAGACAAACCCTGTTTTTTGGTTCATTGCCTTACCCAGAAATGCTTAGCAGATACACCCTGTTTTTTGGTTCATTGCCTTACCCAGAAATGCTTAGCAGACAAACCCTGTTTCTTCAAAGGCACTGACTGTCTCTGTAGAGAGGAAAAATAAAATCTCTTGGAAGTGTAGCTAGTCTTGCTTCCTGGAAATAGCTAAAAAGTTAAAGCTTATGATTTTAGGGCCATCACCCATTCTTTGGGGAGAGTTACACTCTTTCCAAAGGTGCAAACCCAGTTGTGAAGCAGGGCTACATTTTAGCTGGCTTTTTTGGTTACAGTAGAGTTCACTAATTTAACTGATTTTTTAACTTTCAATTTGAAAATTATTTACAAGTATAAGAACTAAGAAAGTGCAGAATGGGTTCAGGATTTTTTTTTTCATCTAAGAACAAAGTATACTCAAAGTATTCAATGTATGAAATTTCCCAAGATCTCTGCGTTACATTCAAATATAGGGGTTTAAAATGTTAAATTACTTTGAAGTAAGACATACTATTCATTTTCATTTTTAAAGAATATTAATATCTACACTCACATAAGGCAACTCAACCCAATAGTGTTGCATTCCATTCTGTGTAATTGTTGTTAGAATGAAAATTATTCAATTATTTTTACTGGATGTCTTTTACTAGATAAGCACTATCTCATATATGTGCTAAACGCTGCAGATAAATGATGAGAAAACCCAGCTCTCTTGGAGCTTTCAGTCTAGTGAGGAATATAGTATTAATCAAGTAACCACATAAACAAACTGAAAACTGCAAATCTGACACCCTCTGTTTCTCTCTGTTCTACCTCCCTGCTTTATCTGTTTTAAAAGTACTTATTTGTGATGTTTATATTTATTTGTTTGTTTACTGTCTGTTTCCCATCCTAGAATGGCAGCTCCATAAAAGAGACATTGTCTGTCCTGTTCAGTAACACGGCTCTAGTACCTAAAATAGAACTTGACACATTGTAGATTCTCAGTAAATATTCTTTGGATAAAAGTATTAATAAAGTGGTATCAGAAGTACTCAGTGTTCTGAGATCCTTTATTAGAATTAGTTGATTCATCAGGGAAGTCAAGAAATACTTCCTTGGAGAAGGGATACTTGAGAAGAAAAGTGGGAATTAGACTGAGAAATGATGGGAGATCATTCAAGGTAATATGCGCAAAGACCCTGTGGCAAGAGGGAATATGAAAAAAGATAAAGGACAGAAAGATGACATGAAGGACAGAGGAGGAGAGACCAAATGAAATAGGATTGCAAGATGAAAGAGGAAGGGAAGTCTGGAGGCCAGACCATGTAGGATCTTGCAGGCTGAATTAAGAAGTCAAGAAGTTGTCTTTATCCTAAAAATAATGAAAAATTATTTCAGTATTTTAAGAAGAGAGGTGACTTTGATTTGAAAAGGTTACTCACCTAGACTGAATTTAGGAAACCCAGCTAAAAGGCTACGGTTCAGATAAGCAATATAGGTAGTGTGAACTTAAGTACAGTCAGTGGGGATTGGAGTTAGATACATATAGAAGTAGATGCTTCCATGGAAATTTAAGATTTGGTGAGAAGTTGGGTAAAAGGTGAGGGTGGAGGAAGTGTCAGGGTTGAGCTGAAGGTTATGGTTGAACCATGGGATAGTGATGGGATGGTGGTACCATCCAGTGAAATAGTGGTACTTGGGAGAGGATCAAGTTTGAGAAAGAAGATGATGAGTTCAGCTTTAGTTACATTGATTTTAAGGTTTCTTGGGCACCCTAGAGAACTTATTAAGTTAGAGGTAGTTCAGAGCTTGGAAAGTCTGGGCTCGAGCAATAAATATGAGTGTTCTAGCAAAGGTAATTAAAGCCGTGGACTATGGGACTTCCCTGGTGGTCCAAGACTCGACCACCCCCAATATGGTCGAGTGGCTAAGACTCGACTCTCCCAATATAGGGGACCTGGGTTTGACCCCTGGTCAAGGAGCTAGATTCCACATGTAGCTACTAAGAGGTTGCATGCCTCAACTAAAGATCCTACAGGCTGCAACTAAGACCCAGTGCAGCCAAATAAATATTTTTTTTTAAAAATCATGGGCCAGAGAATAGGTTGAGAAGAGGAGGGACGTGTAGTTTCACATAAAGATCTCTGGTTGTTGGGAAAAGGATGGAAATGCCAACCAAGCCCTGATGCAAGCTGGCAGCCCTGACCGCTCTTGCCCACATCGAAGGAGTATTAGATAACATATGGTGCTCACTTGGTAGAACGTTCAATGGACCATAGACAGCAACCTTCTAGAACTTTCTAGATTGAAGCATAGCTGAAAGTCAACTTCTTCTTCTTCCTTATCAAGGGAAAGAGGAGAAAAATCTTACAATATTTTTACTTTGATAAAGTATTTTACCAAACCTATACTTTAAAAGTTGGTGATGGACAGAGAAGCCTGGCATGCTGCAGTCCATGGGGTCGCAAAGAGTCAGGCATGACGGAGCCACTGAACTGAGCTGATACTTTAAAACATTCTTTCTTTATGGTATGTCTGTATATATTCAAAAAATAAAACTACTGTTGTAATTTTTCCCCCTTGGTCAGATATTAATGAAAAGATTTTTAAAAATACATTATTTTTAAGCATTTAAAGGTTTGTGATTTTACACAGGTGATTGATGAGACACTTGGAAAGTAAAATTATGTTTATGACTCAGATCAGCTGAGGGGTTTTTTGAGCCAAGAGCTGCTTCAAGGGCTTTGCAACTATTACTTCCTTACTTAACCCTGGGAGGTGGCTACTATCACTCCCATTTGATAGATGAGGAAACTGGCATAGCAAGGTCAGCAAATTGATTCAGGGTCACACAGATGATAAATAGTGGAGTCAGAATCTGAAAGAGAACTCCCCTTCATGAGAAATACTCATAATAACTGTGCCAGATTTTATTAGAATCTACCATGCACATTTTAAAATGTTTTGTATTTTGAATTATGCTGAAAGCCTTTTCATGCATGCATGGTAAGTCTCTTCAGTCGTGTCCAACTCTTTGTGACCCCGTGGACTGTAGCCCTCCAGGCTCCTCTGTCCATGGGGGATTTTCTCCAGGCAAGAATGGATGGAGTGGGTTGCCATGCCCTCCTCCAGGGGATCTTCCCAACCCAGGGCTCAAACCCATGTCTCTTATGTCTCCTGCTTAGGCAGGTAGGTTCTTTACCAGTAGCAGCACCTGGGAAATCAGAATGCCTTTAGTATGACCTTTATGCACTACTTAGCAATTTGCAGATTCTGGTGAACATTAAAAAATCTGTTTGGGCCTGCTACCCTATTTCCCATCCAAATTCCCTTTGGGTTGTCTGGAATGAAATAGTCCTAAAAGGCCACTCTGGCCTATAGGTTCCTTTCTGGCTTGTGGAATAATATGTGATACCCTGATCAAATTTTAATATAATGCTTTGGGGTCTCTTAATCATAGTAGAGATCATTTTCTCAACTTGAAGCAGAGGTGTGTCCAGACATGAGGGCACAGGAAAAGTATTTAGCAAAATTCCCCATAAAACCAAAGGTGGAAGATTTGGTGGTTTATGTCATCGGCAAAACTTTGGAGTAGATGTTGCAGCCATTGTTGAAATAATTCTTCAAATTCTAGCAACCCCAAAAGGCAACTACAACCTCCACACTCAGGAGTTCATCTGAATCAACCGCTCTGGGCACAAAGGAGACTTCAAGGGTGGACACAGGAAACCCAGGGTCAGACTCCCCTCTCCTTCTTTTTTTCCCCTGCTACAGGCTCCCAACCACACTCCTTCCCCCTAATTACAGCTCTAAATCTTTCAGTGTTCACTTGTCCCTCCAGCCACAGGATTTGGCAAGGAAACTAAAGTGGAAATTAATTTCAGTTTAGATCCAGAGCAAAGATTTCATTTCTGATTTCCACTCACTCATCATCTGATGAATGGTCAGGGGGAAGATGTAAAAAAGAGGATAGAAGAGTTTCTGTATAGTCAGTAAATTTTGAGAGCAACAAACACTATCCATAGCCAAAGAGTATGAAATTCATGCCTTCGTAATTCTGTACTAGTAGTAATAACTTTAATTTTTCATTTTATTGTTTTCAATTTTTATTGAAATGTAGTTGATTTACAATGTTGTGTTAGTTTCGGGTATACAGCAAAATGATTCAGATATATATATAGATATATATAGATATATAGACATGTATAATTTCTTTTAGATTCTTCTCCATTATAGTGATTACAAGATGCTGAGTACAGTTCCCTGTGCTGTACAGTAGGTCCTTGTTGACTATCTATTTTATATATAGTAGTGTGTATATTTTAATTTCAAACTCCTAATTTATCCCTCCCTCTGCTTCCTCTTTAATATCCATAAGTTTGTTTTCTGTCTGTGAGTCTATTTCTGTTTTGTAAATAAATTCATCTGTATTGGGTATTTTTTTGGATTCCACATATAAGCAATATCATGTAATATTTGTCTTTATCTGACTTACTTCACTTAGTTTGATAATCCTCAGGTCCATCCATGTTGCTCTAAAATAGTAATAATAGTTTTTAAATTACAATAAATGTTCAAGTCTTTCCAATTCTGTAATAATGATAATAACTTAAAAATGATGATAAAGGTTAATATTGATTATGAGCAAAGTGCCAGAAACACCTCTAAGCATTTCAAGAGTATTATGTCTTTTAATCCTCACAACATAGATAATTCTAGGTATTATCTATCTAGGAGGTAGATAACATTATTTTCCCTCCACTTTAGATGCAGAAACCAAGGCCCTGAGAAGTTAATATTGATTATGAGCAAAGTGCCAGAAACACCTCTAAGCATTTCAAGAGTGTTATGTCTTTTAATCCTCACAACATAGATAATCTATAGGTATTATCTATCTAGGAGGTAGATAACATTATTTTCTCTCCAGTTTAGATTTAGAAACCAAGGCCCCGAGAGGTTAATTTGTCCGAGTTCACACAGTTAATTGTTTTCAATCCACAATTTGTGTCCATATGGATTCACACAACTCACACTGCAGAGATCGCTCTCTTGACCACCAGGAATATTCACTTACCAAGGGGTGACTGTCCTCTTGCAGAGGCCGGAGAGGAGGGAGGAGACGGTTGGTTAGGACTGACTGACCTGGCGGGCCTGGGAGCACAGCTGGAAGGAAGTTAGGTTGGAGGCAGCATGCAAGGCATGACGGGAAGGGGCCAACAGTTCTCTGAAGAAATGCTGGGCAATCTGACTCACGGCCAGTGAGGCTGAGTGGCCCATTCCGGGAGCGTGGGGCAGAGAGCACAGGTGGGCTTGCGGGGGCAGTGAGACGAGCCCTGCTCTGCCTAGCATGAGACTGTTGCTTCAGTCGCCTTCGCCTATGAAGTCTGAACTTAATATAAACCAAAGGGACCTCACCAAGGGCTCTTCACTGTGGGAGTGTCCGGTCCTGCTGCTGTGAACTCCCAGGACAGCCCCCAGCCTGCTCTGCTGGGTCAGTTCAGCTCTCTTGACACTGGGTGTCCGCTTTTCCTGCAGCTGGTCAAGGTGTGGTCTGGTGTCATTGCTCTCCCTACCTGCCTCCACAAGCAAGGGAGATTAGAAAGATTTGTCCTCAGTGGAATTTTACCTTGTTGCTGGCACATGGTAATAGATATTGAATCAATCACTCTGTGTGTGTGTGTGTGTGTGTGTGTGTGTGTGTAAGCAGATGAATAATAGAAATATTGGAGGCTCTTTTCATACCTCCAATCTGGGCACAGGACACTCACTTTCAAGATGGGAACAGTCTTTGCTTATAGGGCATGAGCAACTCCAAAACCTCTTGGTCATATCACCGTGAACTTCAGCTCGCCAGCATTTCCTCCCCAGAACCCTGCCACGGAGGCAAACGCTAACTTCCTGCGTTTAAGGTCAGACGTTCTGAATCACCCTCCATTCAGGTCGGGCACTTTAACATTTATTCTGTTTCGGAGAAAAACCGCCAGCCCGTGTACCCTCGCCCTTGGTCAGCCCATTTTCAAGTGTTCAGTTTCTCACTAAGCCCCACCCTGAGCACACCCACTAAGATTATAAACATTCAGAAAATTGCAGACTTTTGCCAGATAATTGGCAGTGCTTTTCTGAATAAAAATACAGCCACCCACACGCCACGTTTGCTCCAGTTGGCAATGAGTCAAAAGCCAGGCACACTCTCAGTGGTGACCACAGGCCTGCTCCATCAGGTAGAGAATTTTTCTAACAACCTTTTAGTCTCCCCAAGCATCTCAGTAGCACTTGGGCTGATTGTATAGACCAGGTTATTAACCAGAATGGCAGGATGTGCTTCACTCTGTTCTAAGTACGGCCAGCCTTGTCTGATGCCAAGAAGAGAAATGGCCAAGTTGAAAAACTGTGCAGTCAGCAGGGGTTCCCTGGCCCTTGCTGAGCATGTCTCTCCCCACAAAGACTATACTTTGCTCCTAAACTTTGTTCTCGAAGATCCTGAAGCTCAGATTTAGGCATTTCCGGCCTGGCTGCTACCCAGTCAAAAATATACCTGTGTATTGACTGACAAGCAGACACAGAGAGATGTTTATGTTAAATGAGAAAATCAGATTATCCGTGTTATACAATGTATGATCCCAAGTTTGTAAAAACAATAACATAAATATATACAGGGGAAAAATAACTGTTAACAGTGATTAGTGATATTATTAAGTTTTTATTCGGTCCTTTTCATTCATTTATACTGTCTGCATGCCTGCTCAGCTGTGTCTGACCCTTTGTAACCCCATGGACTGTAGCCCACCAGGCTCCTCTGTCCATGGCATTTTCCCAGGCAACAATATTGGAGTGGGTTGTCATTTCCTTCTCCAGGGGATCTTTCTGACCCAGGGATCGAACCTGCATCTCCTGCATCTGCTGCATTGACAGCTGGATTCTTTACCACTGAGCCACCTGGGAAGTCCATACTGTCTACATATATTTATTTCTCTATAATAAATAAATTAATAAGCAAAAGAAAAGAAAACCTACCATCTTTTATGACCAGTTTAAAATCTTATTTCCTTTTAGAATCTTTTATAACAGTGCTATCTGGAAGGTATTTCCCATACCTAAGCGTATGTAGAAGACACCTAAAACATACGTAGAACATGCAGAATTGCATGTGTGCCTTTGTAACACTTCAACTTCCCTCCTTGAACTATAGACCTGAGGAGTGCTGTCTTATCCCGTCCCCAGACCTGAGGAGTGCTGTCTTATCCCGTCCCCAGACCTGAGGAGTGCTGTCTTATCCCGTCCCCAGACCTGAGGAGTGCTGTCTTATCCCGTCCCCCACAGTGGATTTAAGCACTTTGAGA